ATAAGGATTTTCTTCGGGACCCAGTGGTCTTAGAGTTACCTCTATGCTGGTACTCTCTTCGGTCTCAAGCTAATCGATTCACCCCTCGAAACATAGGAAAAACCACTAACACCTTATCTGTCAAACTTTCATAGCGAATCAAAACAAACATTGCGTAGTACTAGAATTTCGACTAGAATGGGGTACGTTAACCGTTTGCTTGGGACCAATAGGTGAGCCAATTTAAAATCGTTAGTTTCGTATTGATTGTTGACTGTAAGGCGTCTAGCATCAAAGTTGAGGAAGTGAATCTATTACATCTCAAAATCAAACGCTGTAATCTCGATATTTGTGTTGCATTGGCCAGAAATAAAATGGAAGGGCAAAATTCTAGATAAGGAGAGATGATTGATTTGTATAGCTGTATTTTACTGGCAATAGTTAAATCGTTTTTCAGTCGACATAGAATTCCATACTTCTTGGCAATTTTCTTGATGACAATGTGAGAGTTGAACTTAAGGTTCTCATCAATAATCACGCCAAGATATTTAATCTCCCGAACGCGATCAATAGTCTCATCATCAATTACAACAGAGACGTTCTCATTTACTCTATTCCGCGAAATTACCATACATTTAGTTTTATTTGTATTCAATTTCAACTGCTTATACTTCAACCATCTCCGCAAATCTCCATTCAAGTGTAAAACGGCATCATCTAAATGCTAACTAACGATTTTAAATTGGCTCACTACTTGACTAGCCTATTGGTCCCAAGCAAATCGATTAACGTACCCCATTCTAGTTGAAATTCTAGTACTACACAATGTTTGTTTTGATTCACTATGAAGATTTTACAGATAAAATAAGGAGTTCGTGGATTTTCCTATGTTTCGAGGGGTGCATCGATTAGCTTGGGACCGAAGATTGTACCAGAGCTGAGCCAAAAAGTTGAGCACGTTTCTTCGGGACCTTCTGGTCTTAGAGTTACCTCTATGATTATTCCCCACGGTACTGGAAACAGAATCATTCAAAACAGTCCGTTGAGTTCTGTCAGACAAATAGCTTTCAAACCATTTATATGCAGTACTCGTAATTCCAACGCGCTTGATTGATCTTAAAGGCCCACGCACATTTGATCCGGATCGGACGCGTTGCGGCAAAGTGACAGCAAAATCTATTGTCTAACTGTCAAATTTACGCCAACGCAACGCTAACGCATCTAATGTGGGTGGCCCTTAACAATAAGGCCCTAGAAATTGCTTCAAAATCGCGTTTAAGATCCAAAAAAACAGCAACAATCGTATCTTTACACCCCAAGTTATTTTTCCACTTCGCTAATATGTATCAAATTCAACGCGATTTCACAGGTACAGGGCTGTTACAAGATTTTCTAAAATCGATCCGCGAAATCCGCGATTTCTCAAAATAAATCCGCGACTTCAAATACTAATCCGCGACAAAAAAACTGTTTTCATTGCCTAAAAATACCATTTGTATAATACTACATGGTATTTCAAGCTTATTGCTTATAGCATATTAGATTTTTGCCTTCTCTCAACTTAGTACTTCAACTTTCACATTTTAATTGAGAGCTTTCTATACCTGTACCATCCTATCCTCAATTTTCCAACCCCAAAAATTAATAGACCGGACCGGAATCGAACTCAGTCGCCTCCAGCATGGACCTGCTTTGTAGCTGCGTCTTTACCAACTGAGCTAAAGGAGTATCGTTTGTAAACTTTAAAAAAATATTTATGTATAGTATAAATTCTGAGTAATTATGTAACACCCTTACATTATGAGATTCTATTGAATAATACCGGCCTAGATTTGATGAAACATTATTTAAAAAATTTATGTGTTTTCATTTGAAATGCAAATTTTCTTGAAAGTTAACCTTTGCGTCTCTGACGTATTTTGGTGTCCTAAATGTTGTAGTTAATTTGGCTCTAGTTTTCTCAATTTTTGACCGATTCAAACCAAACACCCTGCACATAATCGAGAAATTGCCAGAGTTTCATAAGTCACACTTATTGGTCACGTCGCGGTTCTGTATCTACACGGATATTCCTTGGGGTCTGCCAAATCGTATTCATGTGACTGTGTGGATCATGAACGACTTATTACTATGTATACCGGAAATTATAGGTTTTCCAAATCGTCCAGGACATCAGTTGATTTGTTCTACTAAATCAACCAAGACTACAATAATGTCTGTAGTATCAAAAAATGTCCAGTCAGATTCAAAGTGTCTATGTGGATCATGCATGATCTATTTCCGAGTAATCCAGATTTAGTAGGTTCTTCAAATCGTCCTGGAGTTCAGATAATTTGATCTACTAGATCAACCGAGATTGGGACAATGTCTTTAGTATCGAAATATTTCCAGACAAATGCACAGTGTCTATGTGGATCATGCATGAACTATTGCCATGTATACCAGATGTTTTAAGTTCTCCAAATTGTTCTGGAGTTCAGATGATTTATTCTACTAGGTCAACCATGACTGGGATAAAGTCTGTAGTATCGAAATATTGTTTGGATTCATAGTCTCTATATGGATAATGTTTAATTATTTTCGCGTATACCAAATGACTAGGTTCTCCAAATCGTCCTGCACTTCAGATGATTTGTTTTACTAGATCAACAAAAACTAGGATAATATCTGTAGTATCGAAATATCGATTTGGAAATCCTAGAACATTTGGCATACACGGAAATAGGTTGGCATGATCCACATAGACACTGCAAATTTGTTTGGGCATATTTCGATACTACAGATATTGAATTAGTCTTGGTTGATCAATTAGAAAAATAATCTGATCTCCAGAATGATTTCAGAACCTATAACATCTTGTATACGTAGCAATAGGTCGGGTACAATCCACATAGACACTTTGAATCTGTTTGGACATAGGGTTTTTGATCTAATTTCCGTTCTACTAAGGACATCCCGCACTTTACCACGCTTTTTGGAAAGGGTTCGAACGAAACATGGAATGTTTTCATCAAAGATAACTTCTAAATTTATCCACCTTTCCATACGTACCGTTGGATTTGATAAAGAGTCAAACAATGTTGAGATATTATTCAAAATCTAACACTGCTTCTTGCTTCTTAATTCGTCCTACGCGTTTCAATTCCGTCCAAACGCATTGAAACGCCATTAGATTTTCTTCGTCCTACGGATAAACGGAGAAAAAGGGGATGCACTAGGAGCGCTTCTTTTGTTTTGAGAACAATGAGCGTACATATGCATGCAATGCGCTCTAATAGGATTTATGTTGTAGCTAATGAACTAACGCATCGGAACAAACGTATTATTGTTTTGTGCATTGTGAAATCATTGATATTATTGATGATTTCTGCTCGATAAAACGGAAATGGGCGATTACGACGAAGTAGCGCTCTTCCCTATTTCGATACTACAGACATTATTGCAGTCTTGGTTGATATAGTAGAACAAATCAACTGAACTCCAGGACGGTTTGGAGAATCTAGAATATCCGGTATACATGGCTATTACTCGCATATATACGTTTCGTTTATGATTTGACAACGAAAAATGCTATGTTCATATTGGAAATAAAAAAAAACATGATAATGTCTCACATTGGACAAATCTCAGGGAATTTCCGTGTAAATCCGGTATGACTTATGGAATTAAGATCATTTCTAGATTATTTGCAGGGTGTTTAGTTTGAACCGGTAAAAAATTGAAAGCCAAATGAACAACAAAATTTATGACAGCTAAATAGGTAATACGGGACGGAAAGGTTACAATGAATTCCACAATTTGTGTGACAGTACATCATTCAATTCGCTATTTTCGCGACATCATTTAATGTTTCCGCGATTTTCACGACTGAAACTTCAAATCCGCGACAAATCCGCGAAAATCACGAAATCCGCGAAATTCGCGATATCCGCGCCTGTTGTAACAGCCCTGCAGGTATGACGTTCCCGATATCCCGATTGTTCTGGTATCAACAAACTATTACTATTTAAATACTCCAACAGCTGGCTTTTAACAACAAGTTCTAAAATTTGCTCAAATGTGTGCAACATGTTGATGGGACGAAACTCTTCGGCTTTAATCGTTCCAGCAACTTTCTGAATAGGAACCACTAAGGATTCCTTCCAAATTTGTGGCACATGTCCAGTTTGCAATGATTCATTAATAGGGTCCAGCAAGATGTGGCCAATGACATGAAAGCAATCTTGAATAAATCTAGCATTAACATTATCTACTCCAGCCGATTTTCCTAACGAAAAACAAATAACTCTTAGTTCATCTAATGTAGTTGGGTGAAAAACTTCAAATCTACAACTACTATTAACTGGCTGTTTTATTTCGTCATGTTCATCGACCAATTCAATGGATTGATTAATGAATGAAACACTGTCTACAAAATAATCATTAAACTTAGCTGCAATTGCAATAACAATGCTGATAAATCTTCCTTTGAACATACCTATTCGCAACGAGTTTTCTTTATCAATTGTGAATACTTATTACGCGCGATTGTGTACCAATGATTGTCATTATTTGATCTACAAAGCTTTTTGTACCATTTGTCCCTTTTCCGTTTAAGACGCAAAAGATCCAAATTGTACCAGCTGTTCGAGTTTTTCAAAGAAACAAACTTTTGCTCAATTAGTTGATTGGTACACGTTTTCAAAGCGTTATTAAGAACAGCTGTAGATTCATCTAAGTTACCGGTCGCGAATGGAAAATCCACGCTGTTCAGTACTCTCTAAAGAATCGTCTCTGAAAATATAGAGTTATTTGGTATATAATAGTTAAAACATTACAGCTGTTTATGTGTGTGCCATTTTTATCGAGTACACCATTTAGTCATGGAATTCCAAATTGGAAGCAATTGCACCGAGGGAGTGGTCCTGAATGCTGTATAAACGGTCATCGAGCCATGTCTCAGTCAACAGAATAACGGTATAATCACACAGCACACAAGTTGCACCAGGGAGAGTTTCGAAGAATCAACCAGCCCGACATCGCTCGTTTACTTGTATCATGTTTTAGCTCTTTTTTATAGTCTTTAAATACAAATTCTTGTTTTATTTTGTTCCTATAAGTTGTAACCTTTCACAATTGATGCCAAGTCGCTTTTTTGTTGTTGTTACAATATGCGTTTTCAATGAATGATCCAGTATGTTTACTCTGTTTTTGTTGTTTTGTTTTTTTCGTTTCCAAATCTGATTCATTTCTCAGTTTAAAAGCTTATAAAAACCACATAAAATATTCGAACAATTATTTGAATATTGTGTAGCTACTAGTTTTGCTTGTATGACTGCTATGCGTTTACCTTTTGTTTGTTTTAGCCTTTCCACAGTGTTACATTCGCAATGCGCTGCGCACTAGTTTCGTATATTTGTATAGTTTTAGTTATTCCAACAATTTAGTAGGTAAAGCTGATAGCAGTTTTGCGCGCCCGAACAAACCAAATCAGAAAAATACACAAAACTACTACGACTTATCAAATAATGGGGAAAGCTGAAAATCACAAAAATGGCTTCATCGACCGAGGCGCTGCACTATCTATAATCGTACTGTTTTTTTACAAGCAAGGCAATTTGAATCGATGAAAATGGGTAGGCGGGGACAAACACAGCATTTCGGGGGGATCTCCCCCTTTATCCACTAAATTATACAACACAAACATTAAAGGTATAGGTAGTCAGGACTAAGTCATCATCGTGACAGGAGTTGGGCGGGTTTGTGGGAGTTCTTAAAATCTAACACTGCATAATTGTATATGTACAGAAAAAAAATCATAGAAAGAGCGCGTCACTTGATTTGCTTTGCTGCTGCCCTTGTCAGCTCAAACTCACACATATGTATGCGCATTCCTATAATGAGGACACTAGCGTGATTGCAGAGTCGCACATACACACAACCGCACGCACACGAAGGAAAAGAAAAAGTGCCTTTTTTAATTTGCGAAGCGTATTTCGTTAAGATTTCTGTTTTTTTGTGACCTAGTTTAGTTAGATGAAAATCTTCTTCACCACACACGAAAACGTGATGCGGGAGATGTTCTGATAAGAGAGTCTCCGTTCATTCAGATCAAACAGGGAAGCTCGCATCCTTTCCGAAGAACCGTCCATGATACGACAAGCTGGGAGGCATGCCAATTGTGTTGTGAGGCGGAGTAAGATTTTAGATTTTAAAAAAAATGCTGGTCTTTCCAAATTCGTTGGTTGTGGCTACCTAATACTGTGGGGCTTTGTGGCATATGTGTTATTTTGGAAACACGGTCGGAGTTGGAATCGGATTAGTATTTCTTGAAAGCCCTGTTTGTCGGTTATTAAGAGAGAGGGTTCATTTTCGCTTCCACAATCTAAAAAATGAGGAAATCCACTCGGAACAAACTTCACTTTACATCGTATTGTACGCCGTAGCTGCCGTCGTAGAGGTCGCATTGATGCGATGCTTGGTCAGATTGATCTTGGCCAGCGGGTGAGTTTTCCCGTGGTATTGGATTATTTTCTTACCGGTACCGGAGCCGGGTCCCGGACCACCGTCGGTACCGGGATTGCCACTGTTTGAGGAGGTGGTCATCGGAGGAACGATGATACTTCGGACAAAGGGACCACCGCCACCGAATGGCGGCGGTCGGCTGAAGTCGTCCGCCGACCGAAGAATATTGAATGAGTTTGTAATCGTCATCGGCCGGTTCGGAAGATGTTTATATTTAAAAGGTTCAAAGACGGATCGTGGTCGCTGCCGGAGGACTACTTGGTCCGTGCTGCCGGTGCTGGTCGTCGTGGAACTGCCGCTGCTACTATTGTGCCGGTGGTGAGTGTTGAACGAAGCGCGCAATTTTGGGGCTTCGTATCGATCAACCAGATCTCGGACGGTGATGTCTTCCTGCTGGTTCTGCTTTCCAGGGTTTTGGCCCTGTTTGCTCAGTTCTGTGTGTATGGCAACCGGAGAGGATGGCAGCGAGCGAACCTTTTTCGGTTCCTTCTTGCTTCGATCGCCCACTTTGGCTTCGAAGCTCATTTTGAGGTTCTTTACAATTCCACTGACGCTGATGGCCGTGTTTTCGTCATTGGTGGCAGTCTTCTTCTCGTCCGGAACGATTTTCCGGAAGCTAAACCGTCGGTGGTGTCCCTTCCCGGTGGATTGTTGTTCCTCTTCGGACTTTTTACCTCCGAAGGGACACAAACAGTACGAGTCCGGTGCCGATGCGGACAACCGCGTGTACGTTGTCGAAACCATTGTCGTTGTGGTTCGGTTCGAAGGTAGAACCTCTTCACTGTTCGATCGCTGCTGGGATCCTCCAACCTTCCCCCGGCCGTCGTTATCCTCATCGTCCCCTTTTGGATGTTTCTGTCCAAATTTTTCACTGCAAATGCGTTTTATTGAAGACGTAGACCGTTCTTCGATCTTTTGTTTCGTCCGCTTGACCGTTCCAGGGTGCCAAGGAATCTCGTCCTTATCGTAGGGAAAGATTCCACTCTGTCCAGTGTCCTCTTCCGCCGAGCTGCCCGGAGTTACAGGAACTTCAATCACCGTCTGTATGCTGCTGGCATTGCTCGTGTCGTACGAGCCCCAGCTACTGTTACGGGAAGGTGGCGCCGGCGCCATTCGTGTTCCCTGTTGCCCTCCGGCCATCGGATGTTGACTATCACCAGAACCCCAGCTCGAATTTCGCGAAGCCGATGAAAGTGTGCCACGGATCATATCGGCTACCACGGCGGAATCCACACTGGACCAGGAACTCTGACGGGACACGTGCTGCACAGGCTGTTGCTGTTGCGGCGGCAAGACGACCGGTGGAACCTGCTGGATGATCTGACTTTGACTTGTCCAGCAGACCACCGGTTGAGCTACGATACTAGTATCACAATATTGAGCAATGGTCACTGCTGGCAGCGGAATCTTTTCCCCCGGATCCCACTGATGATCCCGTACGTCGTCATCCGTACCGATCGACGGTGCTAGACTCAAACCGGTCGCAGAGGCCACCGACGAGGACGAACCTTTCCTCTTGTGGTTGCTGCTGGTTTCTTTGGCTTTATTCGACGACTCCAGCTCGCTGATTATCGACCGAACCGAGGATGCTGATAACGCTGATGGCACTACTGACTTGTCCTGCTCCTGCTCTTGCTCTTGCTCCTCTTCTTCTTCCTCCTCCTCCTCCTCGTCGTCCTCTTCCTGCTCTTCCTCTTCTTCATCGTCTTGTTGCATTCCCTCCTGCAGGTGCACAATCTGGTTTTGCGACACACTGTAATTCTGCCCATTTCCACATGGCATTCGGATAGTTTTAGCCTCATTGGTCGGCGCCATGAGATGCTCCAACGAGTGCGACTGCTGGCGACTTGTTTCCAACAACAGGGCAGCCTTTTCCGAGTCCGGGGACCAACTCTTCGGTCGCTTACCCAACCTCCTCAGGAATCGGCCGCTCTTGTTCAATGTGTTCGTGGCACTTCCCCTGTTCAGCGCCTGTATCAACGGAGTCGGTTCACTTCCCGGCAGTGACCGTCCCTCCTTCGTTCCGCTTCCGCTCTTGAGGTTCGTCTCACTTTTGCTCCTCTGAAGCTTTTCCCGATTCTTCATCGCATCCAACATTCCCTGGTACGTCTCCAGTTGCATGATAAAGTTCTTGTTCGGTTTGATACAGTTCCGTTTTTCCTTCACATGCTTCAATGCCTCGTTGAAATCCCAATCGTTTGCCTTCATTGCGTACGCAATCACCACCGAAGCCGAACGGGAAATTCCCATCTTGCAGTGCACCAGCACCTTCGAGCCCTCCATCTTGGCGCGGGAAATGTACTTGAACGTATTGTCCCAATGCTTCAGCAGGTCCGTCTTCTCGTCATCGTATACCCGCACGTTGAAGTAGTCGAACATCCCCGGGAAGAAGTTGTCAATCTCTCTGGTCACGTTCAGAATGTGTCGAACACTGCAAAAATAAAAAACCGAACCGTCAATAACTACGTCCAACCTGATTCAAATCAAATTACCCATTCCGTTGCAACTCCTCCAGATTGCTGGCGTTCCACTCGGAGCCCAGGTACACGTGATCGAAGATCTCCGTCGGGGCATCCATCTGGCCGAGAATGACCAACATCTCCTCGTCGATAAAGGATTTGTACTCGCCGAGATCCATGTCCAGCTGCTCCTCCAGGCGAACGCGAATGAACTTGGACGTCACCACGTCCAAGTCCACCGTCATCATGATCCCCTTGAGCTTTGTGCGTATGACACGTTCCGTTTCCTCGCGCTCCGTGGGCCTGCAAAACAATACCGATAAGCATTCAACTGAATAAAGCGCGCGGAAACTCACTTGTTCCGGATCGAGTCCGGTGACGGTGGGCGACGGCTCTCGATCGAATCCATCGCGTGCCATTCGTTCAGGCAGGATCGGTCGGAATCGACGTGGTTCTCGTAGTAGGATACCCAGTCGTGCGATGAGCCGCCCGCGAAAAAGTTGTGCTCCCGTGCCTTCGAGGACACTTTGTGCAGGGTTTGCAGGGCGGACCTGGAAGAAAAGGGAAAGAACGGTGAAATCTGGGACATAATCGGGTGTCACCGATGGTTTGTGTATGGTTTCCCTTTCGATGGATCGATCTCAATAATGATTGATATAATAAAGACATCGAGGTAGGAGTTTAGACAGGATTGTTACAGAAATTCGTAAATTCCGTGCCATAACATGTGGTCATCCGCGCCAGGATGCCACTTTTAATGTTGATCTAGAACTTCTATTTTTCATATATTCATATCAGTCCACATCAAGCTCTCTTGTCGTGCGGATCTATTTGCTTTTTACTGAAGGAAGCGTTACTGCTACCCAAAGCTACAACAGTGCTCAACCTGTAACATTTCTACCTTGTTTGATTTTTATTCCTCTTCGGTCCTTGTTTGGACCCTACCCGAGGTAATCCTGCTTGGACATCGATTTGGAAAATGCCTCTTCGATCCTTCGGATTCTTATAGTAATCTGCTTGGAAATCGATTTGAAGATACTTGTTTGTGCCGCCATGGTACCTAAGCGCAAGAGAAAAGGGCAATCGCTTGATCCTTCTTCTTATGAAATTCAATTGACCAATCAATTTGATATGCTATTAAGGCCTATTCTGCGTGGTGTGTGAGGTGAGGTGACACGCTGTCACTTCTGAAGTGACAATTGTCACCTCGCGTGAGGTGACTCTCCATTTGATTTGCAGGGAGACTCACCTCACCCGAGGTGACAATTGTCACTTCACCATTACTTCACTGTCACCTCACCTCACACGCCGCGCAGAATAGGCCGAATTAGATATTTTTGCAAACAGTGACAGATAGTGGACATGAAGATCCAGTAGAGGTGCCGGGCACAGGCGTTATATCCTAAACAAATGGTAAGTTCCAAATTCGCTGTGGTTGGCAGTACCATTCGTATATTTAAAATTATGCATCAACCGCAGAAACTATATGAATTATCACATATCTCTGTTCTTCATTGTTGTGGAGTGATATGGTTTAGAGATGCTCGATGACCCTGGGATCGTTTTTGCTTACTGAGCAGAAAATCTTGGGTTTAATCCCAAGTTTTCCCACAACAGAATAAACCGTCATCGCCGGGTTTAGAGAGCACAAATTTTGACCTAATACTCCACCCAATTCTCCAACTCCGTAGCACTCATGAGGGTGTCGCTGTGGCCTCTCGTTAAGTAAGTACTACATCAACATTACCTTCCCTATCCCTAGTTATGATAAGGATAGGCGTGACCGGGAATAGCGATTGTCATGCTTTTGGTATTCCTGTTAAGATTGGAAACAGTGTTTACCCTCCAACATTATTCTTATTTATTATTGGGAACATGGAATCAACTCCGCATCAGCCGGTTCCATCTTCTTCATCTTGGACCCTGGGACGCACCGTGGACAGTATTTTGGAAGCCCCCAGTCCTTCCAACGCAGTCGCACCCCCCGCTGACATCGCTAATCGGAGTCGACCCGGCTCCGCAAACGGAGAGGGGGTCTACCGAATCTCCCAATCAGGCGAGTATAATTCAAGATCTGTCTTGGAACATCCCCTGCCTGATGTCGTTGCCAATTCTAGATCGCAATGCAGCTCCCGCCAGGCTTCTTATCGTCAAAGTCAGGCCATCTGGTGGTATGAATTCCAACATCGATGATCATCGCTTAGCGGTTTCACTAACTGAGACTTGGCTCGATACTCGCACATTGTCAAATCAAGTGTTTGGTTCCGAATACGAGGTTTTTCGATGCGATCGGAATCCGCACAACAGTCGCAAATCTACTGGTAGAGGCGTTCTCATAGCGGTCGGCTCTGGATTGAAGGCAAAAGTTATCGAAAACGATTCATGGAATTGTGTGGAACATGTTTGGATAGCCATTAAGCTCGCTGACCGAACTTTGTTTTTGTGTGTAGTTTACTTTCCTCCGGATCGAATTCGCGACTCTACGCTAATTGAATCCCACAATCAGTCTATTCGAGCTATAATGGAGATCGCTACAGATCGCTATGGCGACTTCAATCTACCGGCAATTACTTGGATACTGCTCCGCATTTGTCTATGGCTTTTTCTCCGTTGATAAAGACTGTTCCACACCATCTTCCTTTAGTTATTGCACTTGAAGGCAACCAAATTCCTGAAGTCATTCCACCCCCTCCCCCCTAGAGGTCTCCTACGATTTCCGAAATGCTGACCACGACAGTATCGGGGAACTTCTTTCGAATTTGGATTAGGCACAGCTGCCAAACGCTCTCGCATATTTTGGCTTACTTGGAGGCGAACCAGCCCAAGGCTGAAAGTCTCCCTAATAAAGATAAATAATAATAATAATAATATTTTGGCTTATGTCATTGAGCGACACGTTCCGAAAAAAGTTCCTAAACAAGGTAATCATCATCCTTGGCAAACAAGTGAACTCCGTATGTTAAATTCTTCCAAAAGAACCGCGCTAAGAAAATACACCAAGTACCACACCCTACAACTCGAGGACCATTATGCGAGGATCAATCATGCGTATCAACGAACCAGTCGCCAATGTTATCGGCGTTATCAACGAGATGTTCAACGGAAGCTTCGATCTTACCCGAAAACTTTTTGGAAATATGTGAATGAGCAACCAAAGAAGTCTGGCCTTCCATCGACTATGGTACTGAACGACGAAGAAGCTTCATCCCCTCAGGACATTTGCCGTCTGTTGTCAACCAAGTTTGCGCGTGTATTCTCGGATGAGAACCTACCTGACGAGCACGTTTCTCTAGCAGCCAGTAATGTTCCAATGTCTGGTCAATCTTTGGCAGCTATCAACATTGACCTCGCTATGATAACTAGGACGGCTTCGCAACTGAAGTCTTCATTTAAGCCTGGACCTGACGGAGTTCCTTCCGTCTTTCTCAAGCAACACATCGATATCCTGGTGGCTCCTATCTGCCTTCTGTTCGAAATGTCTCTCTCCAGTGGGGTGTTTCCTTCCTGCTGGAAATCAGCTGAAATGTTTCCAGTGCACAAGAAGGGATGCAAAAGAAACATTGACAACTATCGCGGCATCACATCGCCATATCTAAACTGTTCGAGTTGGTCATTATGGAACTATTCTAGATAGAGCTGGAATTAGGACGTAACAGCCTTTGTAAACAATGACTTTTATCGATGATTTCTAGGAATTCAAGGCATGCTCACGCAAACCATCATAACCGTCGGGTAGGGGAAGTCGTCCCCTACCGGATGGTGTTGTTGAATTGCGTTGGCGAGCCTTAACTTTCTAGAAATCATCGAAAGAAGTCAATGTTTACAAAAGCTGTTACGCCCTAATTCCAGCTCTATCTAGCATTAGTCTCTCACTTCAAGCAGCACTTGAGCGAACACCAGCATGGTTTCATGGCAGGGCGGTCGACTACTTCCAAACCTTCTGTATCTCACCTCGTACATTACGGAGAGTACGACAGACCATATGCAAACAGATGTCATCTTCACTGACCTATCAGCCGCCTTCGACAAGTTGAACCATCCTATAGCGATCGCCAAACTGGTTAGACTCGGTATAAACGGCAGTCTCCTACGATGGTTCGCATCCTATCTATCTGATCGTTAGTTGGAAGTTGCAATCGACGACTGCCGATCTTCTTCGTTCCCTGCCACTTCGGGTATTCCGAAAGGTAGCCACCTCGGCCGTCAATTTCGTCCTCGAAGGTCCACGACTGTCGTTCGCAGACGACATGAAAATCTATCTTCGAATCCGAGCCATCGCTGACTGCCACCTTCTCCAACTCCAACTCAACGCTTTTGCTAATTGGTGCCAACTGAACCGCATGGTGGTCACGGAACAAACATCCAATTACATTCAGTTATATCCTAGAAGGCGTTGACGTACATCATGTGAATTACATTAAGGACCTGGGAGTCATCTTAGATCGCCAACTCACATACAGCCAGCATATCTCGTACGTGATCGACAAGGCATCCAGAACGCTCGGCTTCATTTTCAGGATAGCTAAAAGTTTCACGGACATCTACTGTTTGAAGTCGCTTTACTGCTCCCTCGTCCGGTCGGTGTTAGGATACTGCTGCCCTGTATGGAATCCCAATTACCAAAACAGTGTACAAAGAGTAGAGTCTATTCAACGACGATTAATCTGGTTTGCCCTTCGACGATTGCCTTCATCGCCTTCCAAGCTACGAAAGTCGGTGCCAGTTAATTCACCTGGATCCTTTGTGGAGTCGAAGAGATACGACAAGGGCCCTGTTTGTGGCAGACATTCTACAGGGCAGAATCGATTGTCAACAACAAATCGACGTAAAGATCCAACCAAGAGCACTCCGTAACAACGCAATGCTGAGGATACCTTTTCGTCGTACAAACTATAGTTCGTATGGTGGTATCAATGGACTACAAAGGGTTTTCAATCGTGTTGCTTCCTTATTTGATTTTCACTTGGCACGCGAGACTTCTCCCAACCACCGTCTTCAGGCAAGTATGCATACATTAGTTACAGTAATTTTTCCTGATCAGCTTCCGTGTTCCAGAGCAACGCCTCAAGCATCTGCCGGCTGTTTCCAGTTGAGAAGCACTTCTGATACTGCTCATTCACAACATCCGCTCTAACAATCCTAATTCATCTCCGGGACGCACAATATACCGCTCTTTGAAAGCTCCAAGTTCCTCCAGTCCAGTCGTGCCGATTCCTGCCAGCGTTCAGCATAGTCGTCCTGGAGTCTTCCACCTTGCCTCTACAGGCAAGTACAATCAATATATTGACTATTCACTGCCTGATGCCGATCAAATTTCCAGCAATTCGGACTATGTTAGTCATTGTGATGATGTCTCTGTAACTCCCAATCCTGGGAATCCGGAACGCGCCGTAGAAAGCCCCATGGAAGCCCCCAATCTCTCCGTCTCAGTCCTGTCATCAGCAGCCTTCGTTCATCATAGTCGTTCCGGACCTACGGTCGCATGTGGAGAGGGGTACTTCCAACCCACTCACTATGGCGAGTATCCAATCAGACTTGATGATGGTCAGTT